CAAGATATTCCTTAGCCAAAATCACATCATCGGACACAAAGCCCCTAAAGACCGAAGGAATCGTGTGCTTAATCAACATAAGGCACGTACGATTTGAGGCTGCCCAACGTTCAAGTTTACTGCGGTCCTGATCAGTACTTGAATCCGTTACCGTGGGACAATCCTCCCTTAATACAAGATCATGGCCCATTAATGCAAGGGCTATCATCAAGCTATCTTTCCATTCTGAAAAGTTAGATCCATTCATCATTGGAACCGAACTCAGGTTAAGAGAGATACTAGATGAGGTCTGCATGACTGAAAAATTAAGGAAAACTTATGTTAAACTTACACAACAAGTTAATCGAATGTGAAAATTTTGTATTTCCTAACAAGACATCAGTGCAACATCATTTCCTAAGTCTTTGGACATCAGTCATGACTCGCAATAGATGGCTCAATGCAATCACAAACAAATGAAAATAGACCTGTCTTACAATGGGCTATCCTTTGGGCTTACCATCGTAGACATAGCACCTAATAATCATCACCTATAGTGTGATTGCCCCATAAATTTAATAATGTCGAATAACGAGTATCCTTTGGGCTTATCGCAATCCGTATGTACTAAATTTATGACCTTTAATTGATTCAACATTCATTGAAAAATTATTTAAAAAGAGCCCACTTTGGTAGGATGTTAAGCTAATACACAACTTGAATCAGTAGAGAACATTCGATTAATAATTTTCCTTAATTAAACCTTATTCACAAAATGGCTTTGTGACTTCCTAACCGAAAGATAAACTAGCATAGATGGTTTAAGTGTTGGGAAAACACTACAAAAAAATAAACTAGATAGGGATCAAACCCACCATCTTGCTATTTTAAGTTTCTATTTCTAAAACTCAAATTGGGGTTTTTCATACCCAACTAAATGGCTAAACACTACAAGAAAAACACCGTTTTACAACAGCCAAAATCGTCGTTATTTCGTCGTAATAGGGCTATTACGACAGACTACTGACGATTTTAAAATCGTCGTAAACTCATCGTCGTAATAGACAAATCGTTGTAAAATCGTCGTATAATCTACGACGGTTTTTTTTCGTCGTAACATTGACGGAAAAAGATCGTCGTAAATGCGTCATACAGTTTACGACGACTTTACATCGAATTGCCTCGATTTGGTCTTCGCCTGGACCGTCGTTAAGTCGTCGTTAAAAATCGACGTAGGATCGTCGTAATATACGACGCAATTTTCGTCGTAATTCAGTCGTAATATATTTTATCATTCCGTCATAAAACCGTCGTAAAACACAGACGTATATTCGTCGTATTATTCGTCGTACAATTTTGTCGTAACTTCGTCGTACTTGTTACGACGAATATACGACGGTTTAATGAAATAATAATAATTATATAAAGACGATTATACGACGTTTTTTATAATTGAAAATTTAAAAAAATTTAATTCGAATTAAAATTTAAATTAAAAAAGAATTAATTTACAGTTAAAAATTTAATTAAATTTCAACTTAAAATTAATTTTAGTAATTACAAAAAAACCCTAAAGATCTAGATCTAAATCTAAACTAAGGTCAATCCCGTCACCGGCCTGCTCCCCATCGTCCTCCACATGTTCTTTGCCGGGTCTTCGGGTAGAGGTTTCCCCCGCCTGATCCCCGGGTCTTTGGTTAGAGGCTTCCGGCGCCTGATCTCCGGCTCTAAGAGGATCAACCCCGAGAGACCGGAACATCTCCTCGTCTGTCTGCACCGGTGGTTGCCTCCTAGAAGATGACCCTGCAGACGATCCGAAAACTCCATCAGCCCGCAGCCTGTCCAACTGCGCCATGAGCACCGGGTTGTCGGCCCCCATGATCTCGAAGAGACCGTACAGCTGGTCGATTTTCGTCTTGTACTGGGTCCGCATCTGATCGATCTCCTGGCAGATAAGCGGATCCGGCGCCCGGACATGACCAGTTGCCGTAGCGGCCGGGGTATCACGGATGGATCCCATCCCTAAAACCCGCCCCTTTTTCTTAGGGGCAACCTGAAAATATTTAAATAAATTATGTTACAAAATACAATATAAAGTTAAAATTAAATTAAATTAAAAAATACAATATTTGCAGGAGTGTGCCAGTTTCCCCCACGCGTTACTGTTTCCTCTGCCCTCCAATGATCGATTTGCGCATGTATATCAGCTCCTGTTAAATTTACGGGTGGAGGGACATGTACACTTTTGTTCTTCATAAATAACCTCTTGTTCCTCCGATATGGATGGTTATCCGGTAAAAACCTCCGGTGACAATCAAACCAACAAGTTTTTCTATCATGTTTTAGCTGAAACGCATCAGTTCGATGAAGACAATAAGGACAAGATAGCCTCCCATGTGTAGTCCATCCTGATAGCATACCATAAGCGGGGAAATTGCTTATTGTCCACATAAGCACAGCCCGCATAGTAAAATTTTTTCCCGTAGAATAGTCATATGTGCGAACGCCAGTATACCATAACTGATTCAACTCATGTATGAGTGGCTGCAGAAATACATCGAGAGCTCACTTCAGATGATTGGGACCTGAAACCAAAATACTTAGGAAAAGAAATTTCCTTTGCATGCACAAATCTGGAGGAAGGTTATAAGGAGTTAGGATTACTGGCCATAATGAATATTGTCTACCAGACATACCAAATTGACTAAAACCATCACTGCACAGACCAAGATAGACATTCCGTTTGAACTTAGCAAAATCTGGGTATACCATATTGAAGTGTTTCCATGCCTTTGCATCTGATGGATGAACAACTTCTCCATCTACTTGTGTATGTTCCGCATGCCATCTCATTGATGCAGCTGTCCTTTCAGATTGATAAATCCATTTTAACCTATCAGTTATAGGGAGATACCATATACGTTGGTACGGTATCCTTTTACGCCCACCAGTTTGCGGCATGTATCTTGGTTTTTGGCAAAATTGACATTCCTCCAGCTGATCATCATCTTTCCAAAAAATCATACAATTGTCAACACATACATCTATTATCTCAAAAGGTAAACCAAGACTAAAAATCAACTTTTGTATTTCATAGTATGTTGCCGCTGCCAAGTTATCCTCTAGTAGATACTCTTTCAGAAGATCAGCCCAACCATCCATGCAAACCTCAGCCAGGTTATGATCTGTTTTAATTGACATCATCCTAGCTGCCAACGATAATTTAGACAGGCCTTCTCTACATCCTTCTTAGATTGGCTGATTAGCATTGTCTAACAAATCATAAAATCGTTTGGCATCTACATTAGGTTCTTCAACAGCATTACCAGTATGCGTTTCATGAAATGCATCAGTCACCATCTCATGCATCCTATCATGATCTACATTTTGATCAGATTGATACTGATTAGGCTGATGACCATAATTCGATTCATCAAAATCAACATGACTTTGATAATTACTACTACTACCAGCATTCCCATGAGTATTACTGCCATATCCTTCTCCATGTAGATACCAAACAAAATATTGTGGCATAAACCCTCTATTTAATAAATGCGTCCACACAGTTTTGGTTAGTGTATACCTCGTATTCTTGCATTTCAAACAAGGACAAAACATCTTTCCGCTATCTTTCGTTCTCTCCATATTTGTAACCTGATACATAAATATTTCTAACCCGTTCTTGAACTCTTCTGTCAACGCCCCATCTGAATCTTTACGCATATACATCCAGCTTCTTAGCTCGTATATAGACATCTTGAAATAAACTCAAAATACTATCTGTTTTTATTGATTAGACAATAAAGGAGCTGGTCTCTTGTGTCACGTCTAGTCACGTGAATGAAGTAAACCTTTTAATATTATTACTTCTTTTTTTTCAAAGTAAATAACTACTAATTCGGGTTTCCAGCAATGGACAACCCAGTATATCAGGATTTACAACCCTATACTAAAATTTAAGAGACATACAATGGGTCTCCAGGATGATGATGCTCTTATGTTTGAATGATGATGTGTTGTGATTGAAAGAAGGAATGAAGATCTATTTATAGGAACATTTCGAGCTTTACGACGCTTTTACGACGACTTTTTACGATGATTTTACATTCAACAATAATATTACGAAGATTTTACGTCGATTATGCGATAAAATCTTTCATCTACATTTGTTAGGTAAACATGTTTTAAATGTTCTTCACCTAACTTCTTTGTCGATGTAAAATCGTCGTACCGTTTACATCGAAAACCGAGATGGGTGCTTGTGTAGAGAATAGAGAGAAATATGTTTTAAGAAAGAGTGAGTTTTATCTTTTGTCAAAACTAAAATGACTAAAGCTGCCCTTTAGATGGAGCTGGATGCATCTATTTATAGAAGAGCAAGAGCACAAACTTTATCTATAAAGTTTCCTTTAGCTTGAAGACAAAACTCCCTAATTTCCTCTCCATTTGCCACACTAGCAGACACATGTATGACATACCTTAATTTTCTTCATGGCTGCCACATAGCTCATAATAGCTTACTCACTAAATTTTATTACACTTGTCTCCACCTTATATACTTCCTCACTTCATAGTATATATTTGACCAAATTATATATATATATATATATATATATATATACTTTTAAACATACATGAGATAGAGACCATAACCAAATCCAAAAATCATCACTTAACCGGTTTCATATTTTGTCATTTGATTCAGCCTATCTTAGAATACAAATGATAACTAAATTAATCTCTATGCATATAACTTCTTTGTTCATAATTTATAATCTAATACCGAAATCCATTTAACCAAAACCGATCACACTTTATAAACTAAACCAAAATGATAATCCTTAATCTATAAATTTTACATTTGGTTTACACATCTCTAACAATATATATTTTGGGTCAGGCCCATATAGCCAAATTCAAAATTCTAAACAGACATTCTCATATACCATAACAAACCAGCTTCTAATATATAATGAATCGAGCTAATGAATATTATGGGCAAGATGCAATCCCCACATTAAAACGAATGTTCTCCCCCTCTGACATATTATTCTTGGCATTATATTCTTTTCTTACACGACATAATTAGCCTTCTATAATTGTATTTTGACCATTCTTTATTTTTTTCTCTCACCCCCTTTGGTCGTCTCTCTCCACGGCTTCCTTATCTTTTCCTCTAAACATATTTTTGTCATATTCTACCTTTACAGGAAAACCGGAAAAATACTAATAACAATAAACACAAAAATAAAAAAAATGAAAAACAAAGAACCCCACTTTACTGAAAGTCTCAAGACTGAACCTATAATAATAATATTATTTTATACCATCATATCCTTTGATCAACACAAAAATCCCTTTTCACTTTTTGATTGATTTTTCTTTTTTCCTTCCTCAATCATCATGGAAACCCATCTACAGCAGGTGAAGAACAGTTCTCAAACTTTTTCTGAAAAGCAAAACCCTAAACAAGAAGCTTCACCAATATCATCCACTTCTTCTTCACCTTCTCATGACTTCTCCTTCACCATCTCTCTCCAACCTCTATCTTCTTCCTCCAAAATCATTAGCCCTACACTCAGAAACCCAACCAAAACGACACCGTCTTACCAACAAACCGATCCATTCGCTGTCGATCTGTCTCCTGCCGATGAGATCTTCTTCTACGGCCATCTTCTCCCTCTCCATCTTCTCTCTCACCTCCCTGTCTCTCCCCGAACTTCCACCGGTTCGTATAATGACGGATTTGCCCTCCCTGTCAAAGATATATTACCTGACCAGCCCACCACTCTCCCCACCACAAACGACGACAACAACAACAACAACAGTATGGAGCTGAAGAATAGCAATACCGACGATAAGTCCCAGAGATTCGACAGTGAGAATCGAGTTAAAACCAAACCCATAAAGTCATTTTCTCTCTTTGGTTTATCGAAATGGAGAAAAGGGTATGAAGGCAACGACCGAGGACAAGAGCAGCAACAACAAAACCAGCAGCAGAAGAAGAAACTTAGTTTAGACCTAAGTCACGCAGTCAAGAAGTACATAAGGATGTTGTTTCAGAGAAGAGGAAACGGCATGCAGTTCAGGAGCAGAAGGCAGACTTCTTCTTACTCGTTCTCTTCCTCTATAATGGATTCGAAAGGAAACAGCAAAACAATGATTAATGGATCGAGAGATCTGATGAGAGCGAGGAGAGGCGAGTTATTCTCGGCTCCGGCGTCGATGAGAACATCGCCGACAAATAGTGGCCATCTCTGTGTGTCCACCGCGGGGCTCTCGTCGAGCTCTGCCTCCACGTCGTCATCGTCAAGTGATAGCACCATGGAAGAGCTGCAAGCAGCGATTCAAGCGGCCATTGCTCATTGCAAGAACTCAAGCGCCGTTGATCGTGATGATAAGGTTTAGGATTCTTGATTTGGTTTTTACCTTTTGTCCTTAATATGTTGTTGTTTCTTGTCAGAAGGAAACAAATTGTTAGTGTGTGACGTGGAATTTACATTCACAGTAGAGGTTATTATTTTATTTTCGTGTATAGAAAAAGGAATTACTGTTCCTACTATTTGTCTCCCTAATTCATTTTAAAGAAAAAGAAAAATAAATAATAAAAAAGTATTTTATATGAAATTGTGACAACTTTAGAATAATGAAATAGGGTAACTACAAGTACAGGCTGGGTTTATTGTTTGTTTCTACAAACTAGAGTTGGGCACCGAACAGATGTCCTGAAAAAATTAGTATTATGTAATCTGCTTTGTTTTCACGTATATCGTGTGTAGGAACTAAAAAATAGAACAACTAAGAAAATGTTATTAAAATACGAATTAAAAAAAAACGTTAAGGGAAGAGAAACTAGTGGAGGGAAGATTATAGATTTTTTCTTTTAACTCTTTGAATTACTTGTAATGCGATGAGAATCTAAGATTCAAGAGTACCATAATACAACCACTGTAATCTATTTTCGCTAGCACTGGAAACACAGATCCATCAAACTTTATTCTATGATATGTTAAGTTTTTGGGACTTTCAACTCAAAATCAATTTGTAATGAGTCAATTGATATAAGTTCCTTATATTTTAGTGTTGTCTTATCCTAATTTCTGATGTAGGACAAAATTTATTCACACACTCCCTCAAGATGATGCATGGTTCTTCTAACCATTCATCTCAAAAAAATTCCAATTTAGGATTAACTTTAGGTTAAATTGATCGGACAAATTTTTGGGTCGGGCCGAAGTAGTAGAATGATCAGGACTAATTTTTTTTTTAGGTGGATCAAATATTTAGGTAGAGAATGGGGCTGCGTATGTTCAGATTGGATATGAGCTCTGATACCATGTTAAGTTTCATAAACTTCCAACTTAAAACCATTTTGCAATGAGTAGATTGGACCAAATCCCTTATATATTAGTGTTGTCTCATCTCAATTTCCGACATGAGACAATATTTCTTCACACGCCCCCTCGAGATGATGGTTTTTTTAGCCATTCTTCTCAAAAGAATTCAAATTTATGATTAATTTTAGGTTAGATTGGCCAGACAAATTTTTGGGTCAGGCCGAGATAATAGAATGATCACGATTAATTTTTTTAGGTCAGATCAAGTATTTAGGTAGAGAATGTGGCTGCGTGTGTTCGGATTGGATTTTAGCTCTGATACCAAATTAGGTTTCCTGGACTTCCAAAGCAAAACCAATTGGCAATGAGTGGATTGACCCAATTCCTTTATATATTAGTGTTGTCTCATCCCAACTTCTGATGTAGGACAATATTCCTTCACATGATACTCTCGAACAAAGAAATACTTACTAATAACAAATTTTTGGGTCGGGCCGAAGTAGTAGAACGATCAAGACTAATTTATTTTTATAGGTGGATCGAATATTTAGGTAGAGAATGGGGCTGCATATGTTCAGATTGGATATGGGCTCTGATACCATGTTAAGTTTCTAAATTTCCTACTTAAAACCATTTTGCAATGAGTAAATTGGACCAAGTCCCTTATATATTAGTGTTGTCTCATCTCAACTTCCGATATGAAGCAATATTTCTTCACACGCCCCCTCGAGATGATGGTTCTTTTAGCCATTTTTCTCGAAAGAATTCTAATTTATGATTAATTTTAGGTTAGATTGGCCAGACGAATTTTTGGGTCAGGCCGAGATAATAGAATGATCACGACTAATTTTTTTAGGTCAGATCAAGTATTTAGGTAGAGAATGTGGCTGCGTGTGTTCGGATTGGATTTTAGCTCTGATACCATATTAGGTTTCCTGGACTTCCAAAGCAAAACCAATTGGCAATGAGTGGATTGGCCCAATTCCTTTATATATTAGTGTTGTCTCATCCCAACTTCTGATGTAGGAAAATATTCCTTCACATGATACTCTCAAACAAAGAAATACTTACTAATAACAAAGAGAGAAAGAGTTTGCTGATAATTTCGTAAGAGAAAAGATTAAAGAGCGTCTGTAAAACGAGAAAAATAACTCATATATATATATATATATATATATAGTGGAAGAAGAGATTGAGTGTAACACATGTATCCCGGGCTTCCTAGAAAACCGAGGAATCAGGCATGTTAGATTGATGGTCTAACCTTATTTAGTTAGCCATCAGGTTTAGTCCATAACGCCCGTGTAACAACAACAACAACAACAACAACTAGATGAAATGATCCAAGCTACCCTGAAAAGATAAAAGGGAACAAAGAGATGAGTAATTAGAATTACTCAGTGAGGACGAGTCTTAGGAGATCTGATTATCATTTCCAGACATAATATGAATTAAGATATAAAAAGTTTAAACCTAAAACACGGTCAAGAAAATAGTACGTATAAATATATGCTTATAAATATCTATTTTAATTTTTTTTCTCATTTATTTCATTTCCAAATCAATCGACAAACTCACCGATAACATCATCGATCTTCAATCGATTAATTATCATTTCACAATTACAAAATGTTTTCACACAAGAGCAAAATTCTCTACAGAGGATAACATACAATCCCAAATCGATCTGCCACACGTGACAACCACCCTCCTGTTTAAAGGACTCTGAGCCGTACTGCCACCATTTTATTTTATTTTTTTGTTACACAGACAATCTTGTGGTTTGCATAACCATCCGACATTGAGAACTGATGACCCCTATAGGCATACCTAACTCGATACTAAACAAGCAATTTTTATTCTTACCGAGGATGCTATCTAAGTTCGAGGCTGTCAAGCAGGACCAAAGGAACTTATGAATCTAAAATCAAAACATCAACATCAACCATCACCAACATTCAATCAATTCTAATAAGCTAACTCATCAAACACATCAACAATTCATAAAAGCACAACAACACAACCTAACAATAAAACTAACAGCAGTTTAAGAATAAGCTAATCACATCATTAAAACATATGTATGAAGGAGTGTGAATAGTAACAAGCCCTCACCTTTGCTCTTGCGGAAGAGGAGGAGGAGGAAAGCAACACGGTGGGACAGGGAACTCGTCATTGGAAGAAGAGGAGGAATGGTGGCGGCGGCATCTGGCACATCTTGGTGGTGGAGGAAGCTTCTCGGCGTGGAGGAAGGTTTGGAAAGGAGGAGGAGACTTGGCGGCTGGAGGCTCGCAGCTAAGGAAGGAGAGAAAGGGAGACGGGCACGGCGGACAAAGGAGAGGAGGAGCAGCGACGGCGAGAGCAGAGGAGGTGAAGTAATTGGCAACACAAGGAGGAAAGGGAAAAAGAAAGGGACAGCAGCGCAAGCAGGGTCGCGGAGGAGAAGAAAGGGACGGCAGCGAAAACAGCGCTGCTTCGCAAAAGAATTTTTTTTACTGAACTCATTCAACGAAAAATCGTTTCAAAAAGAACATGTTTTAGTGGATCTGAACCCATATTTCACCAAGATCCAATATTCGAGTCCGACTCTTTGTTCTCCTTCACAGACTATTTGAACAAAGACATTACTATATTTAGAGCATCATTAACGCTAACAACTCATTTGGGTTTCTTATTTATTATTATAATATCAAAATGAAATAAGAGATTGTGTTTAAGGAAGAGAAAGAGAGAAATTGGACACGTTGCACTAAAAACCGTATCTTATCGTTCCTATTTAAGAAATGTCTTTTACAAAATCTGAATGCTTTTAACATTTTTAATAATAAAAAATGTTAAGAAACGAGGTGAAGAGACCCCCTTAATGGTGCTCTTATACTATTCCAAAGTTTTTCAAACTTCCAATGTGAGAGTTTTGACATGTCATCACTTATACTAGACCACACATATTATGGCCCATTTCATTTCACACTCGTTTACAATTTTTGATGAGACATTGAGCTTCATTATAATTTGGTCCAACATATCTAATTATGTGATCTATTTTACTCTTAAAAGATACTAATATCTTGTGTTTTATATAAAATGAAACTTTTCAAATTTTCTAGATATCCGATTTTTTTTATATTCAATACAAATAAAAACTGAAAATTTATATATTCTAATATAATCACTTTTTATGATTATTTTTTTGTTTTTATCTAATATATGAACTCTCAAGTGAAAAAATTGAGTAAAAAAATTAGAGAGACTTTCACTCTAAAGATAAAATTTAAAGGCAATGTACCATAAGAGATTCTCTAATCAGCTATTTTTTCAATAGAAAAAAGAAAAAAAATCAAGAAATGAAGTATGGATATTAGTTCCATGACTTTTTTAAGTGAATATAATTGGGATAAAATATTTTAAAGTAATAGTTTTGAAGAAAATAATAACTCTAGAAAGGAGGCAAGACTTGTGGTTCAGAGATACACTCAAATTGACGGGTGTATTTTAATGGGACATTTGTTCCTGTAGCAAGACTTGAATCTATTTGATTCTTGCTAGTATTATCATGTGACATGTGACATAAATTTTAAACACTATAAGAAAATATTCATATTCCTATGAAAATTTTGACGAAATATTTGGTAGAAAATCGTTATTATCAATTTCTTACGCAATTATGATGAAAAATAAAACTAATTGAAAATTGGTAAGAATTTTCTACCAAAATAAAGCATCACAAAATGGTAGGATATTTCCTACCAATAACCTACTATATTTATATTCATAAAAAATTTGGTCAAAATTTGGAAGGAAAGTGGTAAGACCCAATTGACTGTTATGCTGGTGGGTGTTTCGTCGAAAATTTTCTACGCATTTTTGACGAAATATTATCTGTAGAAAAATCATAAGAATTCTGTATGAACATTTAGATAATTTTTTTTGTGGTGTTTATATGGTTTTCTAGTTTTTTTTTAACTATTTAAATAATTAATGATAACATCGTATTTTGACCACTTTTATGGATCGTTTTTAAATACTTTTTAATAAATTTTATTTCTTTTAGGTGTTTTTATTATGGTTTTCTAGTATTTGTAGTTTCAAGACTCTTTTCAGAAAACTTAAAAAAAAAAGCTTAGCAACATGGATAGAAGACCAGATTTTCAGCTCAGAGTCAAACCGTCAGAAATTCACCCTCAAATG